CATCTAGTGGAGCACTTTAGCGTAGCAAGATTGAGAGCTCTTAATGAGTAGTATCATAGCAAGTTGTGTGTCTAGTAGTCATTGCAACTAGAATTGTTGGATAGGTGGCTTGCAACCCTTGTAGAGCTAGAGCAAGTTTGCATTTTGCTATTTGTCATACTAATCAAATTGCTCTAGTTGATTTATAGATTTTTAAATAGGCTATTCACCCCCCCTCTAGCCATATTAGGACCTTTCACTAACCCTAGCCATAACCCAGCCCACCTAATTAACCCTAGGCACATACATATGCATGTGCTATGTGTCGCTAACCCGGTGGACCTGTAGAAGTCAGATGAGTTATCTATGATGACTTGGTTAGGCTTTCTCTTTCAGGTTCATATAATAGTGAAGTGTAATAATATGGTCTAGTTTTTCATCAGACCAGCTACCCACCTTAACCTAACCCATAGGTTCCCTACCCTATGGATGGATTCCCTTCATCCAAACCCTACTTCAGGTTGACATAATGATGATAACCTAGATAACCAACCCATCACCCAATAGGACCAACCCATCTAAGATCATCGCCTCCACTTTAATTGCTTATGCTTGTATTACATGCCTTGCTCGTTATTTTTCTTGTTTGTATTTCCTTGTTTGTCGATGCTAGACCACGTAGGATAGAAGACATGGAAAGAACCCAATGGAGTCCAGAAGACATAGCAGGATACACAGGAACCGGAGTCTTGACATGATCGTCAACGAATGGAGGCAAGTCCTAACACCCACCTACTCCTTCTCTCCACCATTCATGCCATCCCTTAACCACCTCCCTCCCACCACCACCATATATTGCTAGCCTCCACCATAAACCTTCCACCTTCTATCTCCACAAATTAATAAACTCAACTTATAATACTTAAATCCTCTTTTGTGAATCAATGGAATTATAATGAATTATGAGCTCTATGAACTTGAGGATAATAACTATGAAACCTAAACTGGTAAAATCGAACTAAACCCCGATAGGGGGCGAGTGGGGGTAATTTATGTGGATAGATTACCTTGGCAGGATTGCCTGGTGAGGGTTCCTATGGGAGATACTCACCTCGGTCACGTAAGGACCGGTTCATAGTCCTTCCCACCTAGTAAGATATTATGTACAACCACATGTCTATATGGATAGGCTTGATCTCACACCCCGATTGATAGAAGTATAATTTCTACTAGGAGGCCGGTGTTGGCAGCGGAATATTAGAAACAGACACGGATGCTAGGTGATCTTCCATGTTAAGCTTTTGAGTTTTTGGCCACGTTCGAGCCCATGATTATTGTTTTGGCCGCGTTCGAGCCATGTTATTATTTATGATGATTAGGTATCATCATGTTGGGACGATTAGGTATCCTTCCGAGATTTGTGTATTTTTCCAACCCTGAGAAGCCGAGGTAGAATTATATGGACATCTAAGGTCACGCACTTTTGGGTACGGGGTCTCGTTAGGCCTGTTCTTACCACCGCGCATGGTTAGGAACTGTGCCTATCATGTTGGGAAATTTGTAAACCTCTGCATAATTTATTGAATCTATTTGAATAGCCACATCCTTGGAATGTGCAGATGCTAGGATGTGATACTATGATTAGACTTCTACAACTATGATAATCTAGTAAGATGTATTTTACTAATTTGGTAAACTACAGTTAACCCAGAAACTGGTGAGAATGATAATACTCTGCTAGGATCCAACCTATAATTATAATTACTTCACCCTACCACTTTTACCGTAACCACTGCAACCATTTCCACATATAGCCTTCCCCTTCCACCTCACCTCCACCCAAAGTTTAGGGCTTGCTGAGTACTTCATGTACTCAACCCCCCTCCATTCTATGTTTTTAGGAGTAAAGCTACAGGAGCACATACCCAGATGGAACTATTGGAGCTACGCAAGGATAGGATGCCCGGAGTATACTCGAGGACGGAGCCGTACGAGTACATGAAGGAGCTACGCTAGGACTACGACGATTGTGATATAGGAACACGCTTAAGGAATAAGTTTAGGGTTACGTCCGCACTCCAAGTTGCCTGTACGAATGGAGCAACGTCGACATAGGACCGTTGTCTTAGAACTCTGATATACAATATAAGGCCAATGGCTCGAGCTATGTAAACTTGAAGCATGTGTTGACCGTTTACTGCTGAGGCCAAAAACCGGCTGCGATAGGCCTGCTGTATCGATACAGGTGCGGATGTGACTCACGAGGGGAGTTAACCACGTTGAATAAAAAATTTGAGTCCAGGGATGAGGCATCACAATCGGCTGGTAATACCACCCGACAATAATACCTATCATTCACTATTGGAAACTAGAATAGCCGTGTGCACAAAAACTCATAGAAAAATTAGAATCCCGACAAAAAATATTTTTCTCACGGTACGAGGGCACCAATGCCAAATCCTTGTGGTCGATTGAATTTCTCCGTGAGTGTGTAAATTTCCTTGTGTGTAAATTTTGAACACACAAAATAATTACTCATTTTCCCTGTGTATTTCTATCGAATCGATAGAGTAATTACATCTCTCATTTTTTGTGGGTTTATGCATTTTTTGTCGTTATTTTTTATACCAACACGTTAATCATACATTTCCCTGTGCGTTCACTGAAAAACCCACAGAAAAATTCAACACCTTCCAGTAGTGACTGCCGGGTTGCATTAATTATTTATCACTGCTGGGGCTTTACAGTTTGATAATAATGTTCTTTTTTTTTACGAACCAACATCGATACCCGATTTCAACTTTGTTCTCTGAAAGAGCAAAAGGAGCTGCAGAGTGAACTCGAATCAGTACCCATTTTGGTACTCACTAAAATAAAACATTATATCTCCTACAACTAAAAAGACTAAAAGTAAGACTATTTTTTTGTGCGACTTTTTTTTGGGTCGCTCCTCCCTTCCGGCCATACATACCCCGCGCGATAGAAAAATAAACTGCCATCCTTGTGATCCCCGCCTGCTTTGAAGAAAACAAATTGATCACCTGAGGCCACATGCATGGAAGGAAACAATTGGCAAAGATCAAGCAAGACTCCTCCCTTCCGGCCATGCGATACCCCGCGCGATAGAAAAAGAAACTGCCATCCCTGCGATCCCTGTCTGCTTTGAATGAAACAAATCGATCACCTGAGGCCACATGCATGGAAGGAAACAATAATCATACATGAAAGGAAACAATTGGCAAAGATCAAGCAAGACTCCTCCCTTCCGGCCATGCGATACCCCGCGCGATAGAAAAAGAAACTGTCATCTCTGCGATCCCCACTTGCTTTGAAGGAAACAAATCGATCACCTGATGCCACATGCATGGAAGGAAACAATAATCATGCATGGAAGAAAACAATTGGCAAAGATCAAGCAAGACAACTTAATGAGGTTGGCCCTTAATTTTAGTGTTTCCAGCATGCAGACCTGAAATTAAAAAGTGGCTGCTCCTTGAGAACATCAGTGGTGCCAAATAAAAGATGTGCATGTTATACATTGTAAGACTGGTGAACCTTCTGCAATTTTCTAAACGAATATTCCCACCATTCGTATATAGGCTCATTCCCATGCGTTTCTTCGTGCTCCAATTAGCATATAATATGAAAGTATTATTGTGTTCATCACGACTTCCAGTTGACTACTCCCATTAGCATATACTTCCTCTGCCCCAAAATATAAGTCGTTATGGGATGTGTGCAGGTCAAACTTTTCCAACTTTGACTAGGTTTGTAAAAAATACGTGCAACATTTAACAATCAATTGGTCGACTCCTGAGGCCACATGCATATAAAAAATACCTGTATTATAATTGGTCGAGGTTAAAAAAAAGTTGACTTCTTGGGAAGCGAGAATAAATTCTATTTTGGGACAGAGGGAGTATATGAAAGTAGTGTTGAAAATATTTTAACAATCAAGTTCGTCTTTGTCTAATTGGTAAGCTTAGACATCATAATGACATAAAAAAATTCGACTCTCATGGACACCCTCATGGATCAATGCAAAGCATCCCAATCCTACAGCATACACAAATGGCAACCTTAAAGACCATCTTAGACGTTCTGGCATTAGAGTATATACGTGCAGACACATAGGCATGGTGGTGCAAGTGAGCAGCCAGCAGGAGTCGAGAGTTATGGGGTGTTTGGATCCCAGGACTAAACTTTAGTCTCTGTCACGTTGAATTTTTAGATATCAATTAGAAGGACTAAACATGAGCTAATTATAAAACTAATTATATAAGTTGTGGCTAATTTGCTTGCCACCGACGTGTACAGAATGGTATGGAGATGTGGTGGAACTTATTCGTTGATTTGTTGGCGTACGAAAGAAATGAATATCAGGAATCTCTTCCTGCCGGTATAAAAAATGATCTTAGCCGCATCACGGAAAGATCTACACAGTAGAGTTTGTGAGCCTGCGACGCCATGCTCTCTGTGACTGTGTAAATTTCACGAACTTAGCCTTTTGGATTAAATGTCACTTTAACGTCGGTCATATATTTTTACAGTATTGTTATCTTATCGTGCGATCCGTGTGTTTTTAGTACAAAAGTTTAGCTGTCCTGTAGCAACGCACGAGCACGAACCTATTTACATATATACTCGAACCTGTGTGTACATGATTATATGAAAATGCAGTGAAATTTATTCATGGATTTATTGGCGCATGAAAGAAATGGATATCGTAGAATTCTTTCTGCCGATATAAATATTATCTTAGTTGTATCACGAAAAAGTCTATACAATAGAGTTTGTGAGCCTGCGACGTCGCGCTCTCCGTGACTGTGTTAATTTCACGAACTTTGCCTTTTGAATTAAATGTCACTTTGATGTTGGTATTTAATTTAACAGTATTGTTATTTTATCGTGCGATCCGTGTGTTTTTAGTACAAAAAATTTAGTTGTTCCGTAGCAACGCACGGGCACGCTACCTAGTCATGAAAAAGAGTGCAAAATTTACAAGTTGGACGCTGCTCTATTTAGCCAGTCCAGAAGGCCTTCGGTGGCAACTGCAAATCTAGAGTGTTGCTCTCCAACATTTCAAGGACTTTGCTCATGGATGTCCGATCTATAGGTCTGAACTGGATACACCACAAGCCAACAATGACCATCTTCCTCACAAGTTCTGTGGTGTCGCTTCCGATATCAGAGATGGTGGCGCCACAGAACTGATCCAATTTGTCGTACAACCACTGGGGAAAATAGTTGCTGCTAGTGTCTATGCCAATATCAATTTGTTTCCTTGCCCCGGCCATCTCGAGAACCATCATACCATAACTATACACATCTGACTTATTGCTAACTGCTCCATAGCTTCTGTTGAATACTTCAGGAGCTATGTAGCCTATCGTGCCTCTCATCCCGACCATGGAGATTTTGCTCTGCTTTTGTTGGCACAACTTTGCTAACCCAAAATCTAAGATCTTTGGACAGAAGTTCTGATCCAAAAGGATATTTTGAGGCTTGATGTCAAAATGCACAATGTGGGTGTTGCAGACATCGTGGAGATACTCCAACCCTCGTGCGATCCCGATAACAATCTCAAAAAGTTTATCCCAACATAGGCTGTTGTCTCATTCTGCAGACATACTTCCAAACGTATATCTCTCGAGCGAACCATTGGGCATGTACTCATAGATTAGAGCACTTTTTCTCCCTTGCAGGCAGAACCCTAAGAGAGTAACAATGTTGACATGAGATGTTCCGCTGATGCTAGCCACTTCATTCATGAAGTCCTCGCCATCACCCTCAGTATCCTTCAGTGTCTTGACAGCTATCTCACGGCCATCAGCCAGGTTGCCTCTGTAGACAGCTCCATATCCACCTTGGCCAACCTTGTGAGCAAAACATTTGGTCATTCTTCTCACATCTTGATAACTGTACCTTTTAGGGTGTGATGTTCCTTGTTTTTTCAGGAAAGATTCAATCCTTGGAGCATTCCTTGACCAATTTTGCCATGGCAGCATGCCATAATATTTCTTGTACCAGAGGAAGAACAAGGCGAGGATTATGCCTGCCCCGAATATGGAGGTGCCAGCAATAACACCTGTCAATGAATGGAAATGCATATACCTAATATTAGATAATATATATAAAGCAACTAAAAATATATCAAAGATGCTTCTAAATGTTCAATGCTGAGATTTCACATTTGAGCAGTGTGATACTTTAGAGATGTTTGTCTAACATAGGTAGATAGTTAGGATTTATCCATTAAGATTCAAGAGGAACATTATTCTGATCTTAGTATTTACTCTGTGAGGCTAGAGTGAGCCTGTACATTCACTCGAATCAATATCCTAAAGGAAGGTTCCACATCAATTTTTCTGCTTCCTTCTAAACAAGTAGTGGAGTACTAGTATGTCTTATTCAATTCTTTGTGCAACTTAGCTTGCACCACATCTCACACATTTACACCCCTGTAAATTGATGTTAGAGTATTAAGAATATACAGATGTATGGACCACACAAACATGGACTAGCTATAGGTCCGGCTGAGTACAAGTGTACAACACATGAACAAAATATCTTCTTCCTCCCTAGCTTCGACATCACATCTAGGCATGCAAATCTAATTGGATCAACTCAATGACCCACAACCTGAAACATAAAGTTTGGTGTAAATACTAAATACCCACTGAGCCGACGCACTAATTTTTGGTGCTCCTCTCTAGAAATCGGAGGAGGGTGCTCGTCTCCAACCAACGACATTTCTTCCATCTGTGCTCCTCTCTTCTTCATCGTGTCGCCTTTCTCTTCTTCCACCACCATGAGTGCTCTGGTGGGGGCGGGCAGCCTCAAATCCCACCCCGAGCTCCACCCTAGCGTGCTTGGGCGAGCTCCGCCCAAACAGTGGGCGGGTGAGTGAATTCGATCCCGGTGGGGCCACGGTAGTGCACGAGCTCTGCCTCGGCGTGAGCGTGCGAGGAGGGCAGTTGTGGTCGAGGCTGGGGTCGGTAGGGGCTGGATCGAACGTGCCGAAAAAGGGCGGCAGAAGACCTAGTGGTTTGGGGCGGGCATGGTGGGACAGTGGTGACGAGGTAGCTGGGGGGCTGTGGCAGAAGGGGCGGCTAGGGTCGTGGGCGGTGGTAGACTAGGTTGGGTCACTGTAGAGTAGAAGGGAAAAAGTCGATCAGAACATGATGTGTAGGTCCCACTTATTGGGTGTCCAATGAATCTCAAATGGTGATGACTCGTCCGTGCCTCTCTCTCTCTCCTACTAAACACAAAATAAAGATGACTCGTATATGATTATGATATATGACATATGAGATAGAATTGTCAAAGAGGGAGTGAGAGATTTATATCTTACTTATCATGACTTTCTTGATTTTCCTTCGACCAGTGCTCCGTGCGATTATTCCATTAAAGTAGCCATCTGGATATATACATATATAGAAAAATAAAACAGTGAGCTGATAATTGCTCGTACGTGCACCCCTTGCTAACGCGGCTTTGATGGAGTTGGAGCCGTGCAATTGGGCCTTCTTCTCTTGAATCAAATCCAAACAAATTTCTACCCAATCCAATGCCACACAACAAAAGTATATAAAAGTATAGAAGGCTCAGAGACGATAGATGTCACCTTTGAGAGGGATATAGACGACCTCTCCCTCCTTGACGCTGTCCGCGCTGGGGTTATTTATACCTCCTGAACAGGTCTACCTCTGCCTGAGACGACAGGCCGTGGCTCGCCGCGACGGAGTCCGGCGTCTCCCTGTCACCCAGCGGGTAGGTAAGCAACAGCTTGTAGTCCGGCGACAAGTCCCTGTTGGCGCAGGAGCAGGTGACCGTGACGTTCACCACCGTGACGGCGTCAAGAACATCGTTCATGCTGCTGGGGGCGGGCTGCAGCAAGTTTGCCGTGGTGAGGTTGTGGAACTTGGCCGCGACGCTGGCGTAGCTTTCTCCTCCTTGCGAGACCCTGTAGGGGAAGGATCCGGCGAGGTAGGTGGAGAAAGGCGTGGACAGGAGGGCGAGGCAGCGGCAACGGAAGTAGACGTTTATGCGGCTGTCGGCGGTTATGAAATCCAGGTTGGAGTACCACGGTGAGGGTGCGGTAGTCGTCGATGCCGAAGAGGCTCGATATGTAGTTGAGGTTCTGGTCCCGCGAGATGTAGTATGAACCCAGCGTGAGGTCGCAGCCCATACCGACGCTACAATCGGCTCCGGTCGCCATCCTCGCTGCCGCCGCGACGAGGAGGAGGAGGAGCCATATGACAAGAGGCCGTGGCATGAATTCAACATTAACAAGAATTGATCATCTATTTTGTACACGTGAATGGGAGATGAGGCATACTGATAGCTGCCTACAGGCTCTCTCATCTAGCATGCCGGACCATTGTCCGCTTTTGCTAACACTACACCACAACACTAAGATTAATGATGGATGGTCTGACGCTAAAAGCGACTACAACGACAAACAATCTGATGCTAAAAAGTTATAGCGACAGACTTCTGCAGACGCTGTAAGTCCTGTCGCTAAAAATCTTTAACGTCAGACAATACTTTTAGCGACAGACAGTCTGCTGCCCTGAATATTTATAGCGACAGATAGTCAATTGCTAATTTTTAGCGACAGATATTCCATTGCTACTTTTTAGTGACGGACTGTGCGATGGTACATATGGTTTTAGCGACAGACAGTCCAACGAGACAATTTTAAATGGTTAAAAAAATAAAAATTAATCCATCAACAATTGTCCACAATAATACAAATGTCACTACACAACTAAGATTCAACTTCAACAAACATGCATGCATCTTCACAAATTTGACCAAAACTTTACAACAGCTCACATAGATAAGCTCACCATCTCATCTATTTTCTCTAGAGACAATAAGAACATCCTTCGAAAAGCACAAATTATCATACAAGATTCCACTTGTTCCACCCATCACCCTTCGGATTGTTGCCCCAATTTCATTTATTGTTCCAGATGCATCATCCATAGGGTAACTGGAATAGAGAAAAAGTGCACTAAATTTTGGTCATATTTTACATGAAAAAAAACAAATTATATCATAAAATTAGCTAACCCGATTATAATATCAGGAAAATGATACAGAAAAAGACACTGGCCGGAAATGAAGTGTGATACAGTGATAGAACTAATGAGAATCATCAGCATCATGTATATGATTTCCACCGGACAGGAACCAGCGTTATATACTAAAGCTAGTAAAACCAGGTGGGAGTTCATATATTGTCTTTTTATCACATGTCAGCAGCACAATTATCATATTTCTAATCTACATTTCAAGAATAAAAAACTTCTTGCCAATGATTTGTAGTGTTTTTAACTTACCGCTTTTTCATATCTTCAAGAATAGCTGTTGCACCTCTACACATCTGAAAAGAACAGCAGTGAATTTCTCAATCCTAAAATAGCAGTAGTCAAATAAGCATTGAATTGAATTGGTAAACACAATTTAACTCACTGTGGTTCCACAGTCACCATCGCCCACTTTACTGTCCCATTCATTTAGGCTATCCTTGAGATTGATAATTGCAGTAGCACTTGCTTCAATAGCAGCCTCCAGGATACACCCTTGCTTGCTCAGCTCCTGAGATGGAGCAAAAATCTACGAAGAATAACAAATCATGATAACTGAGGGACTGCAAATGCATATGCCAGTGTGATAAAAGACAAAAAAAAATGCAGAACAGTCTTGAAAGTTCTGTGAAAAGGGACAATGATAACAGAGCCCACGGTTTTCCCATTCTCTGGATCTGGCATTGAGAAACTGAGACGAAGCAATACCACATAACAGCTTGAAATAACAAAAATTACACCCATAACCCCTACAGAACCAGCAAACAGCTACTTGCACTTCTTGCACGCTTCCACATTAGATCACAGGTGAACTGACAGCCTCAGAAAACAGATCGCAAAAATCCAAATAGGGAATTTGTTTTACCTCGTCATCCTTAATTGAAGGTGATGGTGGTAGAGGAACATGAAACTTTGCTGGTGGACGGTTTCCTACAGTCAAGTGATCAACACTAAGTTTAGAAAATTGATTCATAATTGAAAGGTTCTGATAGAGCTTAAAATATTTTCCCCCGTGCTGAAAACATGATTAGGAAGTTTTGATAGCAGTCTATGTGTCTCAATAAATTCCCATTTATCTGAACAACCTACACTTGTTACAGCCTTGAATCAATGTTCGCACAACACAGATCGTAAGCGAGTCTTTAGTATGTACTAAGAAAAGGAAATGTGTGGCAAGTGAGATGATGGTAGAAGGGGAAAAATAATGAAAGGAAGATAACAGTATAGGTCCAATTTATACACCAGAAATAAACTTACTACAGCATTGTTCTAAAATGTGACCATCCCACCCACCCACCTAGCCTTCACCTAGGTCTGAGTTAAATCCTTCCTCCTAGCACCTAATCATCCAATTAACCACTCGCACGAATCAGCCACCCGCTTAGCACTGATTAGCCACTAGACATGGAGCCCACCGAACACCTAGCACCTTTTAGAGCGCTTCAGAGCAATGTTAGAGAACACTAGCTAAAGGCACTCCCTCCATTCCAAATAATAAGTCATTCTGGATTTTCTAAATACATAGCTTCAGTGGGAGCAGGCCAAATTAACTCACCTTCAGAACCAACAGGCCAAGCTGGAGCTTTAGTGGGAGCATCAAGTCTCTTCAAAATGCTATCATCGGACTTCATAATGGTAATAGATAATCCTGCAAAGGGAAAGAGTCTGAAACAATATTGCCTGCCTGCCTGGTTACTTAGGAAGCTGAGTCAACGTAAAATGCTGACATATGCATTGTGATTAGATAAACAATTCCACTTAAGTCAACTGCTCATATATCAGATGATTATGAACAATATATAAAACATTTTTGTTTGTGAGCGTGACGGTTGGAGCAAAGCAGTTATCTTGACCAGTAAATGACTTACGAGGTTTGGTAAAATCATGTTAACTTAATGTAGAGATGACAAAGCTCATCCACATCATCATTTCGAGGAATCACGCAAAAAACTGACCTGCCATATCAAGAGATGTCATAAGTGTGCCAGTGTACACTCTGTCAACAGCAATGCCATACACCAATTGCAACTCAGGAACTGCTTTTCTCGCTGCGATCATAAGTTCCATGATAGGAGTGGCTCCTAATCTGCACATTAGAGATGGGGTTAAAGAACAAAGTTACAAATTGTACTCAATTCAGAACAAAGTGGGGAGAAAGGAAATAGCTACAGTTAAAAAGTAAATAAGTAATGTACACTTTCAAAGAGATCATCAGAAAAAGTGAATTTTAATCTAAGTACGATTTATATGGATAGACAATATTATAACCACGCTGCCATAAGCTCTCAATCCTCTCATATATAGCGTTAAATACATTTTGTAACAACTAATAAGCAGAAGTAATTAATGTAGTAGGCATGCCAAAGTTAAATTTGAAAAAAAGAAAAAATATTTCTAATGCTATGCCTGACTCAATCCTGTGAGCCCTTCCAGCTATTCCAAGTCTCTGGTCTATCCGAACCACGTAATGAAGTGCTATAGAGATGGTAATAAGTAATCTTTCAGGAATTCAAAATGGATGCCCCCTACCCCGGCCACCATCAGCAAACAAAGAAATTATCCATAAAACCATACTGCCATAGAAAGTCCCTATTTTACAAAATGTAGTTACTGAGAGTGTGAGACAGATAAAGTCGTATAATGTTCCACTAAGGAAAACTATCCTAGGAGAGGATTAGTCCTCATTCCTTGTAATACGCATTCAACCCCCATTGTCATCCTTACCTCTCCTGTAATCCAGGCTTGTCTTAATAAAAACATGCTGCTTTTTTGGTAAACGGGAAAAAAGGATATGTCTGGAACAGAAAGGAGAACCTCAAAGCTGAGACAAACTATAGTTTTTGCCTTTTCTAAATAATTAATCGACACTACACATAGTTCAGCATTAGACTTCACAAATTATGCAAAATAGGGTTTTGAATTAAACAGAGAAATATGACCAGAAAATGTAGTGATATGTGTGGCTGCGGTGTGGGAAACAAAATAAATTTTACATTCTGTTCAACAAATACAAATAGATAAACATAGAGGATTAAACAAACATTGCAAATCAAAAACTTACCTGTGACAATATCTGCTTAAGAACATGTTCTACCACTACATCAACTGATTGGAGTTCAACAACAGCAACACCAGGTTCTCCATGCTGGAAACAAATAGATGTTTTAATTTCAGATTTATCAATCTCAGAAATGTAGAAAACAAACATTAATGCACAAAACCTTACAACTACACCTAAGTATGCTAATTGTTTAATTATACAAGCATAATAACAGAAGCTTAGTAAGATGAGAGCAGTGCAATGCTTCATAGTTTACACTTCTAAAATTGAACAAAATGGAGCACTGCAGTTTAAAAATAATGGAGAAAAGTATAATGGAGAAAAGTAACAGTATCCCTATATCAAGGATACACATTTATCCAAAACAGCCCACAGTTTGGCCCCTTTCAAAGCAAATACAGATATACCACAGACTTCTTATTGAACTAAAAATTGATATGTCCCAAGCAAATTTCAGAAAAGCAAATGTTATCCCTCCTCTCTATCCATTCATGCATGAACACAAGACGATAGGTGGAGGAAATGGTAGTTATTGACATGGTAATAAATAAACAATGCACGGTCCCAAAGCATCAGATACTCATATTGCACAATCCTCAAGTGTACTAAAAGATCCCTCTTATCTCATGATTTGACATTTTAAAGCTGATATCACAATGAGAGTACCTTTACTATTAGAAGGCACCCAAGGGGACCAATTACAGCTCGAATAGCCTACAGTGAGAAGATGTAGTTAAATGTCAGCTAAGATGATTTATGCTACTTAAGAAGCTAGACATTGTTTTACTAAAAAAGAAACATACAGCTAAAATAGAATCAACAAGTGGAGAAGCGAAAACATCTCCAGAAACAGCAGCGGTCAACATCCCTGGCCCAACAAATCCAGCATGGGTAGGTTCATGGCCGCTTCCACCACCTATGAACAAAACGGTGCTAGAATAAGTAATTGAACTTGATATGAAAAAATGGAAATATCCCAGCAACCATCAGCCATGAAAGTTACCAATGAAGATATTTTTTTTCATGCAGAAGTTCCTATTTGACATTTCTTAAAGATGGAAAAGAAACAGTATGGCCATATGCTTATATATACTATTAGTTCAAACAGGGAAACACAACAAGCGTATGAGAGATTATATACATGGATTTCTGTATGATGATGCCATGGTATGCAAGAGGTCCATGCAATACACCATCATCCGTTCCTCTTCTAGCAGTAATGTCTCCAAAGCAGAGTACAACGTGGTACTAAATGTAAAAGGATATCTCTTTTTTCATAGTAGTATACGAAAAGAGATTGATGGCTTAAGATGATAGAGATGGGTCATTCAATCGGCATATCTTTCTTTTCTCAAATGGAGACATTGGTTGCATAGTGATATGTGTAGCTCCTTACAAATCACTTAAAAACTTCTCTACTGAAAGTGGTACTAGTAGAAAAAATAAATTAATGCAGCAATATCCCTTCTCTATATGGATGAATCTCTTTTTGTCATGGTTAGTAGAAGAAATGGGACAACAAATAGTTAAGGTCAGTGCTCACATCAGCTGACAAAGCTAAATAGAAGTTCATACATATGACAACAGCTATATATATGAAAAAAATATTCATTAGTGAGAGCCCACAACAGTTGGCAAGGCTAAATAAAAGTTCATACATGGTGGTAGGCTTAGAACCACATATGACAAGGCTCTCAAGTACTCTGTCTGTTCCAATCCAAAAGACAGAGAACCTAATATATTTACGGAGGTCGGGATGGTACATATTGGAAATATTTGGGATAAATATAGCATGCACCACCACTATACTATTTTGCTAAGCTATAAGAGGTATAAACATACATAGCTAATTAAATATGGAAAATATATACTATTTTGCTAAGCTATAAGAGGTATAAACATACATAGCTAATTAAATATGGAAAATATATTTCCAGAAGAATGACGAGAGTATAGGAAAAACCATTTAGACCATGGTTGTCTTCTAAAAATCAGAATAATACCATAGTTATTCATCGGTACTTACTTCCTGCATTTAAAATTTGAGGTACTTGGTGCTTGCCGTTGTAGCTTGCTCGTTTACTGTTGCCTCCCTGGTTGGTCGGTGCCTCAGCCTTAGCTGTCCTACATTGCACAAAGGGGAAGATGGAGGGAGGGAGGATCTGAGTGAGGAGCCATGAGACGGAGGACGGATCTGGGTGACGAGCCATGAGACAGAGAAGAAGAGGGTGAGGTACCTCCAGATCTAGCCGCCAAGCCGATCCGCCGAGGAAGAGGCCACGCGCGCGCAGATGGAGGCGTCGAACACAGGCACCTAGGGTTTTGATGTTTCGTCGAGCCCAGGAGCGCACGCGGACCGGTGGGAGGAAGCCGTGTCGGGGGTGGCCCGAGCTCAAATGCACCAACTAAATTTAGAGGTGAGCTCGTTCTTAAGCGATCCTTTCCATACTTTCGAGAATAGGTTACTACCTAATGATGTTATGTTGCTTAGGAACATTGAAGAGCATCATGAGGAACGTGGAGGAAGGAGTGGAGGCGAAGAAGACCAGCAAGGACGTCCAACACAAGCGAGAGGCCCGGTCCAACTCGACTTCGAGTCTGCCTCGGCCTTCGGGACTAGTCTGCAATAAAATGGACGTCCAGGACTCATCCAGACTCCGTTTTCAACGATCCACATATAGGTAGAAAGACATTTTCACAAGCTAACTAATGGCTTTGGTTTGAGGTCCAAATTCCACCGGAGTCAACAGAAATCGTCAAAACAAGTCAGCGTCCAGAATCTGTTAGGTGCTACGTCACCACTTTTGTTCCGTTGGGTCGTGTATTGTCTTTGAGCCCGTTAGTGGGGCGCATCTAGAGGAGGCGATGACCCTTAGACCTTATAATCAGTCGCCACCATCTTTGTTAGGTTTTGGGTTTTGCTTAGATCATTCTGTCTTTGATAGTCGCCGACATTCGGTTTGTGGAACCCCACTTTGAGAACTTAATCACACATATGTAGTTGTCGCAACTTTGAGCTTCGTACTTTCGAGTTCTTGCTTGTGTTCTTCGCTTCGCAGGCTGGGATTAGCCTTCTTGCCGAGGTCAACCGGTTTGGTGACACGGTTGATACCTAGAGGAATTGTGGTGCTAAGATTGTAGGGTTTGGGTCTTTTGATCTAAAACCGAATCGATGTGTCGTGCTCTACCAAATGATAGTTATCATCATTTGACAGAAGATCAGGATCCCTAGTTCCCTGATCATGATTGGGAGACAGTATGGAACGCAAAGGTTGAACCAAAGTGTAGATTTTTTTGCTGGTTGCTGTTCCAAAGAAAGATTTTGACTTCCGACAAGATCACACGGCGAGGCGGCCAAGCAGACCTTATTTGCAAGCTATGCACAATAGAAATTGAATCACCGAAGCATCTGGTGGCCAATTGTTCATTTTCACGCACGGTCTGGTCATTACTAGCCCAGAAGTTTGACCTTCCGATGACGAATCAAACCACAGCGAGGACAAAGATCAAGACACATCAACGACAGCTACAAACTGAGCCCAAGTGGTCAGTTACGCTGTATGGAACCTGTTGGAAGAGCGCTGCAGGAGAGTCTTCGATAACAAAACACAAACACCAATACAGGTAGCAACCTTAATTCAACAGGACATTCTGCTATATGGCATGGCGCATGACCCAGAACATGTACATAGCTAGTCTGTAACAGAGCCAAAGTTTCAGACTGCATCTGTAGCGCAGTTTTCTCTTTTTAGCTTATTCAGTTTTCTTTTCTCTGTTAGCTGGGAATGTTTGGATAACGAGCCAGCTCGTTAAGCTCGCGAGCCAGTTATAAAAAAATACACAAATGTAATATTTGCATTTATCTAAAGTTTGAGAATAGAAATATATAATACAAAAGTAATACAGCCAACTGCCTTAAATAGAACAAAAAATTAATATGTGCTAACATATATACAAGTATAATAATATACTCTAGTATTACACTATACATCCATGGTCCATACTCCATACCATACATAATGCGGTCCATGAGTATCCATACATCCATTAAAAAAATAATAAAGTCATAATAATCCCAAGTTTATAGGGTCTAGACAAATCATCAATCAATTGTAAGGTGGAAGACATGAAGTAATACAAAACTAATATAAGTTCTACCATTTTTTTCCCTTTGAAGCGTGGCTCGTTTGGCTCGTGAGCGGCTTGCGAACTGGCTCGAGTTGGCTCGTTATAGCTAACGAGCTAAAATCTTGGCTCGGCTCGGCTCGACTCGTTATGATAACGAGCCGAGTCGAGCCAACCACGAGCCAAGCGAGCTAACGGGCTTCGAGTTTTTCGTCCAGCCTTATGTTTAACCAGGATGTAAACATCTTGTACCTGTTCCTTTTCACCTCTACTTAATATGCAAAGGCAGAGCACCTGCTGTTTCATGCTAAAAAAATACAAAGTAGATTTTGACCATTAATTTTTCTTATAATACATAGTCGGTTGCTAAAAGATCGATATCATCTGTGACACTTTGAAGACAATTCTATTAATGTAAGTTTCATGCTCTAAACTTGCATGTAACTTGATTAGATTTTTCCTATAGTCAAATACGATGAGGATTTTTGGACAGAGGGAGTAACAGTTAACTCTCTCTCTGTCTCTCTCCGTATCATTAATGTGAAGTAGTACCCAGTTTGAAGTTCTAACCTACTTTGTGGTTTATGGTTTTTATTGAAGGACACATGCATCTATTCCCTCCATTTTTAATGTCCTTTAAAACTGAGATGTTCTTATATTTATGGGTGCAGCAGCGCATATAGAGGTTGATAGCATAGCAAAATGGTAAGAAAGGGCCAGGAATCATTGCCATTACCTTTCAAAAAGAAAAAGGGCCAAAGATGAACCCCCTTCCGGAAGATTCATCGTGTGATGTTGAATCTCCCACATGTGGAGCAAAATTGTAGCAGAGGAAGAGTAGTCCAAAGAAGAGGAATCAAATGCTGTCGATGGCTTGCTCTTTCGAAAACAGCAGTCCAAAGATCAAACTGAACAACAAGCAATATGATCAAAGGCCCCCCCAAGCAGCTAGAAGGTGTATATAGCAGGAGGGTAAGAGAGCAGAGGGACGTGGCAGAATCCAATCCCATCACCTTCCAAAAGAAAATACGGAAGAATCATCCGTGACTTGTTTGTGGAACAGAAGCTTTGATGGATGGAGCAAAATTCTAGATAGGAAGAGGAATCAAGCGCTGTCTAGCTTGCTCTTTACAAAATAGTAACCAAAGATCAAAGAAACAAAGCTGTTCCAGACCAAACTTTTTTTTGAATGTTCCAGACCAAACTAAAGATGGGGAAAGCGTGAAATCTATGTGCATGGCCTGGCTTCTTTACTACTTTCTTTTTAAGATAAGAAAGACCCAAGATGGGTTCCCTATATTTTTTGGTCTTTGTGAACAATATAAGGAAGCCCGCACCGAATCTATAGTCTAAGGTGCGTGTTCTCCAAATTTTTTTAACACCTACTCACTCAGTTCAGTTTTAAAATACAGAGGATTTATAGTTGTCCTAAACCATTCTAAATTTGACCAACCTTATAAAAAAAGCAAATAATATTTACCATGTCAAATGAGCCACATTAGATAAATTATGAAATGTGTTCCATGATTTCTCCTTGATATGGTAGATGTTAATACTCTTTTCTACCACTTGGTCAACTTAGGGCGGTGGTTAGATTTATTAGGGCAACTAAAAATCCCTTTATATTTCAAGACTAAGGTGGCAATTCCCGATTGATGTAAGGTTGTATTTTTCTTATATAATGACTAAGGTTGTAGTTCAGGAAATATGCCAGATAATAAAATGGATATATATTGATGTGTGTAAAGATCATGCACCCTATTTATGATCATGAACAGTTTTGGTGATGCACATGAAAACACAAACTCTAGAATTAACATGTGTGTCAATATGTGTTAGATGGGCTCTACTAGGTCCTAGGGATGCAAGAGAATAATGACCCAGAACCAGCGAAAAAATGAAGCAAAAAACAAGCAAGAAAAGCTATAGTTTCATACCGTCACAAGAAATGAGCTACAACAAAAGTTACCATTCTTAAGCTAGCTTCAACTTAATACATATTGAAGATATAGGTGCCATACGTAGAGAGAAAATCTATGAATATGGATGGTAAAACATATAGGGTAATTAATAGTTAAGTTTATCACAACTATACAGAAATCTTATTAAAAAAACTAGACAGAAATTATATATCTCTATGGGTATTGCGTTAGAAAATTTTCTAACCTACAGAGACCACAATGACAAGATATTTTGATTAGTTATACATACTTCTAATACTTTTATTTTTTAATTAATATATTTTAGCCCGTGCCCTGCATGGGTTGATATATTGAGTAACAATAGTTAGATGTCATTTTTTTTTCCACGTGAGGCAAGCCCCATTTCCATTCAGATAAACGGAAATACAAGAGTTTGGTTTAACAGAAGACCATAAACAAAGAAGCAAAGCACTCCAGCATATCTAACCTCTGTCTCAGAGATAGACAGCACCCAGGAGTGAAAGATCTAATATCCATCTAGCAGACGACAGAAAAGACAACTACCAGCCTATTACAGACCATCCAAACCAAGACCGCAGAGTAACCGTACATCACAGAACCCACATCAACATATCCAGATTCCAGCCTTCTAGTACTCCACCTCCACTTCTACCGATTCTGGTCATCATCAGCTTGAGGATCTCCTTGCTGCAGCCTTCCCCGCCTGTCTTCAACCTTGGACTTGGGAGCGAGGATTTTCGCTGCCACTTTAAGCATGGTATTGACTCCATTGATGAGCATCTCCCTTTCCACCTCAGCATACAAACCTGTCCAAAAACGCATTAAAGCACACGCATGGCAAATAATCTCGATGGGGTTATTGAACTTTTTCCCATCAAAGCATATTTTGTTTATAGCCTTCCATATGGCCCAACAGATAGCAGAGACTCCCCACATATGAAATTTCTTTCCTTTAGGGAGCCATTTGTCACACCAGATCCAGCATTGTTGTAGTGAAGTAGGAACATTATTAGCCCCAACTCCTTTAGCCACTACAGCCCAGACTACTTTTGCAATTGGACAAGTAAAGAAAAGATGGTCAATTGATTCATATGGTCACAGAAATGACACATTGGACTCCCTGTACATTTTCTTCTGATTAG